GAGAAAACCAGTAATAATCAAGACTAAATTTGTATAACCTCTACAGCCATTTACTATTCCAAAATAGAAATGCTTCTAACATAGATGCATCAGCATTTTGTCACTGTAACTCACCACATGCAAAAGTCAGGACATCCAACTATAGAATAGGAAACTCAAAGCTTTGAAACAAACGTGTAAACATTTGGTTAAATCATGTGACAGACAATGTATTTTCCACTAATGCACTTTCAACTATTCATGTTACAGGATAGGTAAACCTTGATAGGTAAGTCTTGATAAATTTTAAAATACTGTATTTAAAAAAAAAATAAATAATAAAACGATGAGGCTTAAGCTTTTAGATGAGTTACAGCGAAAATTTAAATGGGGGGCGGCGGCCCTGCATTTACAGTCTGTCAACAAGCAGTATTGCAAAATTATCCCTGAATCTTTCATATGTGGCAGTGAAATTATTACAAGAACTTGGTAACATTTTAACATGTCCAACTCGTAACAATACAATTCAGAACATTCGAGGAAAATATTTGATAACAATCTGGTTTAGCCAATTTACACAGTGCAGTATCAATTATAAAATTATAAAAAAATAGCTTCATGAATACAAAAAGTCAGTCTGAAACTCTGGGGTTTTAATTGTTTGAGGCTAAACTATGACCACCTTATAAGAGTATTATGGGGAAAAAAAATAACAAAACCTGATCCAAACTTGGAAAAAACATTTATCTATTTGCATTTAGTTTAACACCGCTTTAAAACTAAAAAATGTTAGCAGACCAGGAAGTGAAAATTCACATTTATCAATATATGAAAAGGTTTTCAAATCATTTTGAGTTTTTAAAAACAAATTGGCCATTCTGACCCGGGTCCGAGAAGTGAGAGGTTGGGATTAAAATCTTTTTAAAAATATTATTGTTAGGTTGTAAGACAAAATTGGGTATCAAATGAAAGATAATTGAATGGACTATTTGTAAACTTACTTCTTCAGTTTAACTAAAATAAACTACCAGAAATGCGTCCGAGTAGCATTGAGTCTAAAGGGACCCGGGTCCGAATAGCGGCGCTGCGTGTCCAGGTCCATTTTAACTAAATGCTATGGGGATGTCATTTTTTGTAGTTTATTTTAGTTAAACCGAAGAAGAAAGTTTACAAAAATATAGTCCATTTAATTATCTTTAATTTGATATCTGATTTTGTCTTACAAACTCTACAATAATTTTTAAATATTTTTTAATAAACCGCAACTCTGACTTCTCGGACCCGGGTCCAAATGGCCGCAGCCTTTAAAAAATCAAATTGTATGTTAAACTTTGTTGGTTCCTAGAAAATGCTTTTCTTGTTATTAGATGTATATCTAGGAATTCGGGTTGTTTTCAGAGAAAGTTTTAATGGTATGCAGAAATATACGACCCATCATACAAAACCTCTTTTCATCTATTATTTTACTCTAATTCTTCTAGCCACATCACTATATGATTTAACACTACTTAACAAGGGGGGCTGCTCCACTTTTCCCAGTGGTGAGCAGCGTGGCACTCCTCTATGGTTCTAAACTTGGTTAATGTAATAATGATTACCCTTATTCCAATAAATGGCCAATTTACCTTCCAATACAACCCTAATAGAAATGTTCCATCACTGCAGCTGAGTCATGTAAACATTACTGGAATGTGATTCACTAATTCTCAATTAGGCCACCGGCATATGTTGCCCAAATTGAGATAATAAGATCTGATGGTACAATATTCAGTACATATAGATCTTAGAGTGATATGAAGCAAATTTTTGCACTAAATTTATCTGGCCTTACTCTTGTTTTCTTAACAAGGTCAGTTTTAGTTCTTAGATCTATTTATAGCATTTAACAAAATAAATTAAGCAAATAGTTATTTTTCTCCCCAAAAAGAATTTATGTATATCAAGATTACCCTGGAACCAGAGCAATCAGGAAAAAAACAACATTCATCTATTTTTAGACAAAACTGTATTCTCTGTGCATCTCAGAGTAAACATGAACAGTTTATTTTTGGGAAGATATGTATCAAACAAATTTGCTACTCAAGAACTGATGATGAATGTAAAAATTTGAAATAACCAAATTAGACGTGTATGTCATTCCTTAGTTCATTAAAAACATAACGACATTCCAATATAATTCAGAACTACATATGCATGAAACAATTTCTAGTTATTTCGTTACATTCTTTATTTGCCAAAATTGATTTTTAATTGTATCATATGCATTTTTTGGTCATATTGTCGTAATTATTTAAGCCCAGCATTATGTTTCCATCAAATTATTGAACTGAATAAACATGAAATCTCTTGCTGTGATCCAGAACATATACGGAAGACTTACACTGGAAATACAAATTTTAAAAGAACAATGAACATTTTTATCTTAAAAACATCAGTTATTTCCCCAAATATTTCACAATAAAAAGACAGGTTACTTGCATACAAATTAAAAAAGAAAAAAAAATTCTTAAACCTGGTAGGGGCGACTATGGAGTTAGGTGTAGAGGGTTCTTCTGGTCGGAGTAGTTACACCGAAGAGGTTGGTCCTCACTGTTGCTGGGTTTGCCATCTGGATCGGACTGCTATTACGGATATTGTTGTACAATGGATGGACGGAAGGACTGTTTAAGTAATCTGAAGGAAGAAAAAAAAAGAATCATAAGTCAATCTAAAATCCCAATTAGGGAAGTAAACAATCTAAATTTCTCAACAACCTATAGAATTCATTTATGTTACCTTATTTAACATACATGCATAGCAGAGTAACTAAAATGCCATAACTAAATTCTGCAAACACTTTCAAAAATCAATAACTTCTAGATATTACAATTTAAATTACTATTCAAATTACTTGTGGGCCATCAATGATTTTTATTGTAGAACATCCCACTGAAATTGGATCCAAACTATTCTAATAACTTGCATTATGATAAAAACACACAATTCTGATAAGTACTCAATATATATGTGCGTCATGAGTTTTAATATCTGCACCAAAGGTTGGCTTATGTGAGGGAACAGTGCTTGCTATTCAAAGAGTGTTAGTTTTTGTCAAAATGACCAGCGCTTAGTTTTAGTTAATTATATTAGTTTTTTAAAACTTAAAATTAAATTCACTAAGAAATGGGTCTTAATTGTGTTTGTTCTATAATATAAGAGCCAACAGCTTGCCAGCACCTGTTCTACACTATCAAAATTAAGAGTTAAAAAAAACTTTTTTTTTTAAAGAAACAAAAAGCAATGTTAATACTTATTGACCACAATCATATTTCTTTATGTTTTAAATCAACAAGTATGGACACCACTGAAATAGGTGTTTTGTGAATCACACAACCATTAGACAGCCACAACCAAGCTCAGAAATCTATTAAAAATGACTGTATAATCTATAAATATTTTAAAAACTAACTGAAAAATGTGTACAATAAAATTTGTAGTAAAAATGAAGCTAAAAAAGTAACATGAAAGGAAATGGCTGATAAAAAATTAAGACCAATTTTATTTGATCGTGAAAGTCTTAACAGCCATATCTGTTATGCCGGAACTTTTCTTTAATTAACTATATTGCTTTATTTAACAAATGGTAAATAACAGAGGTTAGCTTTATGGTTAAAAATATGGAAATGAGCAAAACAAAGTATGGGACAGGGTGGAAAAAAAAAAGGATGCATCATAACAATGAACGTGTTAGCAAGAAGTCTTCATTCATCAGGAAACAAACAGTAAAAACAGAATTAAATTAATATAATAATTAGCTGTAATTTAGTATCCAAGAGGACAGCAACAGGAAAGACTTTCCTCTTGCTGTCCTCTGGTATTCTACATTACAGCTAAGTGTTATTTTTATTTAATTCTGTTTTTGATGTTTGTTCACTGATGATGGATTCTTGCCAACAAATTTGCTGTTCTTTCCTTTTTTCTCTTCACCTTTTCCCATACTTTGTTTCGCTTATGTTCCTTTTTTCTAACCTGGTTTCAGTCTCTCCCCCTTATTACCATGGTTAAAAATATATAGTGCTTAGTTTGTACTGCAAAAATGTAAAAAAATAATAGCAATTTTGAAATTTATTGTTACATGTGCATCGTGGACTATATTTATGCCAATAAACTATAGTGCTTGAAAAATCATAAATATTTAACCTCATTTAAGACTGTATTTAAAAAATTTCCAAATGGGTTTGAGAAAAAAATAAATTAAGCACCCCATCTTATTTTCCCACTTTAATTAAAATTATCACCCAGTTTAGACTTAGGAAAGAATTATTCGTAGTTTTTTTTTGGATGGTAATTATTAATGGACCTACTCCACAGTTGGCTCGGCAACTAGAAATTTTTGCCTACGAAATACCACAGCATTGTTATAAATTTCTGAGACAGATATGGCTGTTAGAGAATAATGGTGGTGTGGTATTCACCTATCTCTGGCAACCTAGGAAGGCTTGGTGCTACCTGTACTGTGTTGCATGAGGATGGGGTTGGGCGACGCTCGAATTGTCAGAGGCGAGTGTGTTGATATATGAGAGTGGGCCGATGGTGAATCACAGATTAGATCTATATCTAAATTGTTTTCATAGTCATCATCCCAAGCTGAATTCTGTCAATGAAAATAAAACAAGAGAAATGTAAAAATTTGAAGCAATATATTTATTCAATATGTAACTTCCTTTTCAAAATTATAAATACAGAAATGGTACTTTTTTTCATTACAACAAAGAAAAGAATGTGGAGAGACACATCATAACATTAAATGCACTAAAAATAATGAAAGTAAGAGAAATTCCATTAAAGAGTAAGAACTTTAAAAAAAAAATAATGAACTTATTATTTTTTTGTGGCTACCTCATAGTAATGTAATTCAAAAAAATTAATTTGAAAGTCATTTTCCAAATACTAGCCTCTTACTATAATTTTAAAAGAACAAATAAAAAGTATTAAATGGACATTGACAACATACATACCTGTAACACAAGGTCTGTTAGAGCATCATTGTTAAATGACACTGGGATTTCTAAGTAGTTAAGGTCAGAATTTTCCATTTTCAAGTGACTGTGACTTTTAGGAGCTGGAGATCCATAGTCTGTTCGCATAGGGGTATAGTCTCTTTGAAAAGATGGAGAATATTCCGCCTTGATAGGAGTATGGGGCTCAGATTTTTCTATCCTGATATTAGGATGATATTTCTCTATTTTAATCTGGGAATATTCAGTCTTGACGATTGGGGAATACTCTGCTTTCGTGGGAGTGGCTTCAGCTCTGAGTGGTGTGCACGGGGATGAGTCTGGGGACTTTTTTTTGGAATAGTGCAATCCTGCTTGCCCTTTCTCTATAGCTTCTAGATTTTCTATTGATTCAATAGACAAAAAAAACAACAAAGATTTAATTATGGAAGGCAGACAAAGTTTGTAGTAAAGACAATTAAAAGTATTTAAGTTTTGTTGAAAGATGACTTACTTGTAATATAATACTCCTTCAATAAAACATAGTAAGCTAAATGTAAATTTTATTGCTCAAGTGGCTTGTAGAACTAAACATTTTTGGTAACTTATAGAGCTGAATCAAAATGCATAACAATCATAGAAATTATTTCAATCTTGACACAACTACAAAAATCAAAGTATCAATGAATTTTACTGGAAATGAGGTCAGGAAAATACATTTTTACGTTTAAAATATATATGAATGACTAGTTACTTTATTATTAAATTCTTGAATATAATGGAATATAATTGACAGTGACAATTTTAACTGGATCTGTCCACTGATACTTTGTTAGTTCTGTCAATTTTCTGAAGTGTAATAAATTTAAAAAGACAAATGTTGAGTTCTCAAACCTTACTGACCTGGGTATGCCATGCTGCTAAGCAAGCCAGCTGGATCTTTCTTTCCCCACTTAGATATCTCATCTTCCATTTTAGTGACTTTAGCTGGGTTTAGTGCCCATAAACAACCTTTTTTGGCACCTTGACTCAATTTAGGATTGTCAACTTTTGCAAAACACTTGTTTAAAGAAAGATTATGGCGAACAGAATTCTGAAATAAAAGAAATGTGATACGATGTTCATGGATTATCTGTTACAAAAGAAAGAAACATTTAAATTTTTTAAACTTGCAACTGTTCCCTTAAGTTAATCTCTATACACAGTCTTAAAAAAAGACTAGGATAAGCAAATGTAACATCTATTTGTGACAATTTTTTTTAAATAGTTTTATCAGTCAAGAAATGAAATAGAGCTGTTCCCTGGATTTTGCATAAAAAATTAGCAACAAACACAATTATAAAGAAACATTGCCTGGCCTTGAACCCCATAACTGCCAAGAACATTTTTCTCAAGCGTCAAGCCATTTTTCAGCATATTCTTATGCTTGTCAAAACATATCTCTGAAATCATTGCTTTCATTTTGATCCATTTTAAATAATTCCAATGTAGAAATTCTGTGTTGAATTTGTAATCTAGAATGGAACCCTCTCAGGCATCAGACATTATGGTGGTCAATTCACTTGAGAAAAGTTCACACCCAATTAATCACACAAAAATCCCTAATAAAAGCATGCTAACACACAAATAGTAATGGCAATAGGAAGCAAACTCATTTATATAGAGTAATTTCCCCTTAACCTAACCAATATATATTAAATATTTGCATTTTAGTGACAATTTTGCTTTTACCGGCTGTGACACCACAGAGAGGAGAATAACGGCTAGTGATCTGTCGTTGTGACAGTTATAGTGTTAAGGGCAACTCCTCCATAAATGTATTTAATTTTAAATATCAGCATGACAATAATTTTACCAACTGAAAACCCCGATACCATGTAAATTTTATTAAAAAGTGTTCTACAAAAAAATTTAACATACCTTCCAACCATCAGGGGCTGTCTTGAAATATGGAAAATTCTCACTATGGATAAAAAAATAAATGTATATAAATTATAATTTTTTTTATAAATTGAATATGATCACTGTCTTGAAAATCCCAAGATTTTCCATTCATAAAGTTCACCCAAGTGATAAAATCCAATCTCAAATACTCTTCATTTAAATATTTTTTAAAATTAAAAAACCACATTATAGGGAAATTATACTACAGACTTTAAGTTAGCTTAATAGCAAATAAATTATTACTGAACATCATCCTCGTCTTTTCAAAATATTATTACAAAAAATTGTTTTTAACATGAAAACAAAAGGGTTCCTAAAACTTACCACATGAAGTTATAAATTTCACTAACGGGTAGACTTCCATTCTTGCTGTTTTTGAGAGCTAAGGCTATGAGACAGCTGTAAGAGAAAACTGGTTTAGGGTAAGTTCTTTCTTCACAGTTAGTGGTGGAAGTAACAGTGGCAGAATCGGAATGGTTGCAGGAAGCTGATGAAGTGGGCATGCTAGCAGACAGGTGGACATTCTGGAATAGTTGCTGGGGAGAAGATCATAAGCTGGTTTTAATGAAAAATTATTTTAAAACCAATGAATGAATATACGTGTTTAACCCATTTACATTTGTTTGTTATTTTTTTCAGGATGTTTTACAAAAAGTATCATAAAATAGTATTACAGAAAAGCAGTATAATGATAATGCATAACTTATTAAATTTGTTAATGGCATCTCAACTTATCATGTATAAAAAAAAATTTTTAAAGGCAACCATCGTTAAATTAGCCCAATAAACCATTCTAAGCACTTAGTAAAACTATGCATCAAAGCCATTGGTGTTTCAAAACATTTATGAACAAATTTTTGTTAATTGAAACTTAGGTTTCTACAACAACAACTTAGGACTATATTCATGAACTTTAACTGATAGGCTATTTTCCCTTTTTACTTCCCATATAAATATATTATTGGTTGTTAAATTTGAGACAAAAGTTTGTGTAAGGTATATTTTTGGGTAAATACCTGAGGCTGTACTCCAGTCTGCAGCCTTCCCAGCAAGACAGGGGAAGCTTGAGAAGGGGAAAGAAGATTATTTCCTGATTTAAGAAGAATTCTCCCACTTTTGTCTGCAGTGATTGCATGAATTTTTTGAGGTGACGATAGAACATATTGTTGTACACCAGAGGTATTTGAGCAATTTGGTGAATGTGAAGTTGTGATTGTGAGCCCTGCAGGTAGTGTCCCGTTCGTAGTAGTAAGAACAAAAGTCTGTTGCTTGTGTGGTGAATTTATTCGAGAAGAAGTTATTAAATAATTTTGGGTTTTCCCTGGTGAGTTTTGAGGACTCCCATTACCAGCAACAGAGAGAATGCGAATGGTTGGGTGGTCTTGTCTTAGAACATGGGGAGAAGACAGCTGAGGAGTCGGCTGCTGCTGTATGGAATGAGTTTGATTTTCAGGTGAGTTCATGAGATTGCTGCAGTTGGCATGCAGACGCATTGCAGCACTGTTTGCACTTTCTGACGAAAGGAGGTTTTCAGTCTTATCGTTTTGTATAATCTGCATAGGTAGAACGGACTGGGGGTTAACAGTAATCATATTTGTACCATCTGAAGTGTCATCACTGTCTAAATGAGCAAGGGTTGAGAGGGAGGAATTGTGCAGCCATGTCATATCACCAAGTTGGCCATTGGCTTCAAGTGAATCGAGGTCAAGACTGTTCTCCATTTTGACATCAGAAACATTACCATGTAGTTCATCAACCATTTCAGCACTAGTGTTCATAAGGAATGCATCCAACTCATTTTTGTCTGTATTTAGAAACAGAAGAGGGTCGTGAGACCGATCTGAAGAGAAATCCATGTTGATTCTTGGTATATATACAATATTACCAAATTTTATTGAGTCTCAGTGTATCCAAATTCAAACCTGCAAATATAAAATGAATATATTATTATTATAACAAATTTTCAGGGATTATTTCACCTCCTCACACTTCAAGTAAATGTAGTATTAGTAATGGTCTACCACTCATACTGCATGCTCATAACTCCATTTTCTTAAACACACAAAAATCAACAAATGATGTCAAATGTCTAACAATTTAAACTTAAACTAAAGCTGTGGTGATTCTTATAATTATAAGTAATATAAGGTAGGCCCATTCAAAATATGTAGCTAACAATTTAGTTTCTCTTCACTAAATATTTAACAATTTAAAAATCTGCAGCATAATCCTTTCATTCATGATACTGAAATTAGTACAGGCATAGGTTAAAAATGGGGACGCCTGCCACTTTTTTAATCGAAATGCACGAATGTATCCCTAAATCGATCCCTATGCCTAACCTGAACCCTAAATCGATCCCTAAACCTAACCTAAACCCTAATTCACTGCAACTATAATAAAGACACAAAAGACACCGTGGCAGCCGTCCTCGGTTTTAGCCCAGGCATATTAGGCATAGGGCCCGGCCCGGCATAGGGCCTAATTGTAACCTACAAAAACAGGGAATCAGACTGCGGTACCAAAATGAATATGAAATGTGAATTTTGCCTTTTTATCAGAAGTTACAAGAAAACTAACCATCTGATTCTGAAATTTGAGTAATGATTAATTTGATTCATAGTTATACATTACTTAGAATAGGCCTAATACTAATACTAATTATAATACTAATACTTAATAATAGGCTGAGGCTATTATAGGCCTACTGTGGCCATCTGTAGACACTGACTGTAACTATATAAATGAATAATAACTAAATAAAGGCCAATTTACATAAATTATATAATTTATATAATATAAAAGTCTATAACTTATAACTATAGTAAGACCAACATAAAGTTTAAATACTTTCAATCAAGGCCCAGGTCTATAAATAGGCCAAACACTCACTAAAATAACTAAACATTACATGCTACTAGTCCTAGGTGACTAGGTGTGAATAGATCATTCATACTTCATTCAATTCATTCATGGGCATTGCTGTTGCTGCCTTTGATTCCAGTCTCTAAATTTAAAAACTAATACTAATACTCTGTAACATTAAAACATTTTTTTAACAACACAGACGTAAATATCTAACATTATAGAGCACAACTTACGGCAAACTCAATGAAAGCTTTTTTCAGTTCTTGTTTAAAAATCTTGACACTACAAATACAAAGTCTAAACAAAACTGCTAACCTAACTTTTAAGACTAAGCCTAACCTAAAAAATGGACTTAGCTGCACTTTTTCTTCATGTTGCTGTTGGAAATTATTTTATAATCGGTAAAACTAAATTACTTCATACTGTTTAAAAGAGCGCGCTGCCAAAACCAAGTTATACGATTGGATACACAAAATTGTTAACACGAAACAGAACTTGAGTACCGGTACTGCTAAAAGTGATACGGGTCCCTAGCCTTACTTCAACAACGTATTTTTAGCGACTAGCGCACCGACATCTTGTTTTGACGATCGGGCGCTCATTAATATTTGTTTGTAGGTTGTCAGTTAAATTTAAATAAACATAACAACTAAAGCTAAATAACTTGCAATATCCTAATTATTAGAAGGAGGCGTGTTTTATAATAATGCTTAAAGTTATTAACTCATTGACGAAACAAATCTAAAACCAATTCAAATCTGTCAAGGCCGTTTGAATTGAAAAGTAGAACCTTCCATATTTGAATTTTCCTCCATGAAAACGAAAACACGAGTGAGGGCATAGGGCACTGCAGTAACCGAGACACGGTCATGAGTTTCGACCACTAATAATCATATCTGTTATTAACGAAATTCATAAACAACTTACCATCACATAGAATTAGATCTTACATAAGCATTTGTGTATATTTAGAATTAAGGTTGTAAACAATGAGCACATGTAGCTTTCGACATTCGGGTAATGCGTAAAAGTTGTAGCGATCTCGTTGGTCGGTTTGCGGAACAAAGAAAGGTGAAACTTTCGAATTCCGACTCTCCGGTTGGTCGGTAGTTTCCGTCATTTTCAAAATGTCGTTCTTTAATTGGCTGGACCCGGTACAAACAAATCAACAACTTGTCGGGACAGGTGTGCTTGCATGTCTGTACTGGCTGGGCATGTTGTAAGTTACAATGCAAAATAAATGAATAATGATTTCAAAATCAGTAGTAAACAATAAAAACATGACGTAAAGCCCTTCTGATTTGTTATTGCCCGTAAACCCTAGTCATGTTGTTACACTGTGGAGTATTGGTCGACTACGAAGCTAAGAATAGTGTCGTAGGCCAACTCTTAGCATTAGTAGTAATAGCCTTCTTAGTGCCATCATAGTATAGTTTGCGTAGGTAAACATTGAGATGTTACTCCACGATGTGGTCAGGACGATTACTTTTAATTCGTTGTTTGAAGCCAGACACAGCAACTATTTTAGATAAATGGAGCGTGTTTCTACCTGCCCTACATATTTTGAGTCCTCTTTTTTTATTTCTACCGCAGTGAGTCTCGGAGATCAATCTGAAATTGACAAGTTTTGATGAAATTATTGATCTGGGTCATTGAGTTCAAATTTATACAATCTCTTCCCGCCTGACTCGATTGCTGCTCATATTACCGCCAGATTTCATTATAGCTCACACGCCCATCCATTTTTTTTTCTTCTAACACTGATCACTTACTACGCAAGCTTATTCTTATTTCTAATTATGCATTGCATTTGAAACAACGCAGGGGGCCTCATACATTTAAGGGGCCCCGTGTTGTCATGAAGAGAAAAAAAGCAGCGGGGTGGTGGGCGCCCATCCGAAAAGTTGCAGTGGTTGGGGGGGGAGGGGGGGTCTTCTAGAGGGCTCTGGGTAAAGTTATGTATCGGCTCACACACAAAATGTTTGCAGAGAGGCCCCTTTTACAATCATGTTATAAAATATAGGAGATCTATTAATTCTTATCAAGATTTATTATTGTTTGATTGTCATCTGTTAAATACTCTTTTTACATCATTCTTGAAATGTCATTATAATATTAAGTTTAAGGTAACCGTGCGGAAGGGGGGGGTGGGGGGGGGGGGGGAGAGGGGGTCTCGGCAGAATATACTTACATTTATTCACAAATTTTGAAATAATATTTCTGGTATTCTGACAATCTATAAATTGCATATTTATGTACCAGTATGTATCTCTAAAGCTGTAATAAGCAACCCATAAAAAACATTTTTTTTTTCCGTATAAATCCTTTATAAAATCGAGCATTTGGAGATATGGCTGAAAATTTGACAAAACATGCAAATGCACTTGATAAAAAAATAAACATCCGAATAGCATGAGTCTAATGGGACCCGGGTGCGAATGGCGGCGATGCGTGTCCGGGTCCATTTTGACCAAATGCTTTTCGGATGTCATTTTTTGCTAGTTTATTTTAGTTATAAACTGAAGAAGTAAGTTTACAAACCATATAGTCCATTTAATTATCCTTCATTTCATACTTCATTTTTGTCTTACAAACCCAACAGTAATATTTTAAATAGTTTTTTTTTTTTTAATCCCAACCTCTCACTTCTGGTACCCGGGTGCGAATAGCCACTTCGTTATAAGAATCCCAATTAGTGCCCCCTCCCCCAAAAGGGTCGCAAACGCACCCCCTCCCCCGCACGCCCCTGAACTATAATACTCTAATGCCCCACCCGCTTTCACACCTCAGATTTATTTCACCAAATATGTCAGAAAAACAGAAGAAAACATTACGCACCAAACGCACCAAACGCACTGGCAATTTTGTTTAAAAAAAAAAAAAGACTCTCATTTAGTTCAGTTATCGTGAATTTTCCTCCATGATCCCTTTGAAAAACGGGAAAAACTTTTTTGTTGGGGGTGCATGGGTCTGAAAAATGTGATGGAATGTGTTGTCGTCGTCAACGAGTCTATGTGCCAGGTTTCGGCTTGATAGGTTGATGGGAAGTGGGTCAAACGGGCATCCGAAGATTTGGCCAGCCACGAACAAAAGCGAAGAGGACATAGATATAAGGGATTTGGAAATAAAACTTGAGACCAGATTGAGAAACTGTGGTCGCGTGTCTCCAGTTCGGTTGATACAACATGCAGTGGGCGTGGTGCGTGAGGCGAGCTCTTCAATACTGGGGCACAAACCTGTCATTTGAACAGAATGACCCTGTGTCGTAAATGGCCAGGACCTGAACACATGCAACGTCATCTGTGCACACTACGGGGACCAAATCATAAACTGGTAAAAACGGTACACACCCCACTACCCAAGGAGGGTTTGCGGGGGGGGGGGGAGCCCTCCAGCTAAAGAGGGGTCCGGGGGGCTTCCGCTGGAAACTAGTTTGAGACCTAGACATCTTTTTTTACATTGACCTTAACTTTTTTAATTTCATTTAAACTCTGAGGCACATGATAACGGAAAACAATAATTTTGCAGTGAATAGTTATTTATTAAAATATATTTTACAACATAATGCAACACAACAAATTAAATGCAGCCATCACGCGAGTCAACACCACTACTGGCACTGGCTACACAGCTAGCCAAAATATTACTTGAAGTCATAGTGTAAATTAGGAAATTTTAGTTTTAGTGATTGGAAAATGTGCTTGGTTTTAGAAACGGGACATTTAGGCGTCCCGAGAGACTTTTTCGGGACACCGGGTACGAACATGAAAAAACGGGGCAATCCCGTTTGGTCACCCTAGTGTACACGGCGGTCCTCAAAACAATTGATGTGGACGCCTTTATGGGGTATCACCCAGTGGCAAGGCAAGGGTTAGTGCCGCCCGATGCGGTCCGCTAACCCCCCGGGGCGGTCCGCCAACCCCCCCCCCCCACCAGGCCAGGGGTATATCCCCCCGTTGTTTAAATTAAACCTGTGCGAATTTCATCCCGTCCTAACACAGCGATCGTTAGTAAGCGTAATACACGCGCGTTTGGCAATGAGTTTTGAATCTTCACGAGGGCGGTATTTAGAGAGAGTACAATCGAAACTCTCGTCTGGACATTTTAGTGAAAATAACAAAAGAATGTGAATGTAGTAGGCTACAAACTAGTGTGCTATGAACTGTACAAAAAAAATAATAATAATAATAACATCTGGGCAAATGAATGGCTGACAAATGAGATCAAGTTTTGGAAAGAGGCAGCTTACAACCCAGGTCATTTTGTATCCACCCCTCCCCAGGACTCCCATCATCATCATCATCAGTGGCGCTGCAGCCCATGTAGGGCCAAGGCCTGCTTCACTATACTCTTCCATTCTGATCGATCCATGGCTTTTCACCGCACTGGACTTATTACGGTTCTATTGATATCTTCTTGAATAATCAAGCGTAGATTTCTAGTTCTCAACTTTCCAAACTTTTGTTGACCTATTGACTACACATTTTGTTGACCTATTGACTACACATTTTGTTGACATATTGACTACACATTTTGTTGACCTATTGACTACACATTTTGTTGACATATTGACTACACATTTTGTTGACATATTGACTACACATTTTTTAAACAATTACACTTTTTTTTTCCGCGACACAGTAATTACGATGTGACTTGTTTAGACGAGCAACGCAGTAATTGTTATCGCTCCAACTAAAGGAATTCTGCAGAAATTGAACTAACTACTATGTGAACTTCTCATTTTCCATTTAAAAATCATGTCGCCTCACATGTTCTGAATTCGCCTTCTGCTCGTCTTGTAGATCCAGAGTCGTTTCGTCTTGCGTGACTTTTGGAGCACCCTTTATAACTTTTTTTTTAATTTTGAGGCGCCCCCCCACCCATGGGCGCCCGCAGGGGGGCAAGGAGGGCACTTGCCCCCCCCCCCTGGATTGATTGGATAAAAAAAAATTTAGACAAAAATAGACAAACAATGTATTAAAGTTAAAGTAAAGAGAAAATAAAGAGAAAGTAACTAGGCTGATGTCCTGTCCGTTCGTTCACCATACAAATACGCTACAGTAAATTAAAACTACATTAAAACATTACTAAAAAAATTTTGCCCCCCCCCCCCAGAAAGTTAATCGATTTTTTTGCGCCCCCCCCCCCTAGAAAGTTTTTCTGCGGGACCCATGCCCCCACCCCACCCACTCAACCTTCAAAGTAAAACAATCCTAAAAAAATTTTCCCCCCCCCCCCCAGAAAGTTAATCGATTTTTTTGCGCCCCCCCCCCCCTAGAAAGTTTTTCTGCGGGACCCATGCCCCCACCCCACCCACTCAACCTTCAAAGTTGATATTTAAATTTTCTTTCCTGTCACAGTCAAAACTTCGAACCCTATCTGAGGCCCCGTGCAGGTATTGCATGACTCACGCGACGGCCCTGCATAACATATCAAAATCCTTTATATAATCCATTCCTGTGTATAAATAAATGGCTGTAAGTGATGTAGTGTTTGTCCTCTTGTTGATGAGACGACCTAGTCTTTTGTAACTTGACCCTTCAGGGAAATCTTCGTTCGAATGCGGTTTGCAACAAATTATTTTGTCCATATAACATAATCAATATCCATCATCCAAAAAGCCTAGCCGGTAGATTAAGATTAAGACGGTGGGGTAAAGCGCTATACTTTGATTTGGCTCAGGCAAAAGTCTGGTGCTTTAAAGTGAATACATTTTCAAAATACACCCAAAAAAAATAATTCTGCGCCGTTCCAAGATAAGTTCTTATTAATATGTTGGTCACCCATACATTGGACGTGGCACCAGCACGCTGGAGCTGACACCCATACGTTGTCCATGACGTCAGAGAGTTCCTCGATTACAACCCAATGATTATTATTCTTGTATCTGTGTCTTCTTTCAAAGTTTATATCGTGAAATAAAAACCAACCACAGACAGCAACACCGCAACAATTTAGACCAGTGTTT